CATTGCAGCTGTACTGGTCACTGGTGTGAACAGCTCCCCACTCCACTCCCCACCAGAAACAACAGAGGAGTGAAATGCAACTGACAGGTGCCCCCCATCCTCTCATCCCCGCTAAGCTGGTGTAAACATCATCACGTGGCAGCTACCAGGGTTTTCACCCATAGGCTAACATAAGCAAAACTGCATTTAGTGCACGGACAACCATTTAGGAGTGTCCAGGTATAAGGAGATAGTAGACTGCTTGGAGAGCAAGTCTTCTGTTGTCCAAGTGGGGGCCCAATGAGCTTTAAAATGGGGCTGCTCCAGCAGTAATTGGTTAGTGAACTCCCTGGAGCACATGTTGGCCAAAAGGCCCACAAGTGACCCTTGGTTCCAAGGAGAGCCCCACCACTGGGGGTCCATATATAGAGAGAAACCTCACACTCAGTGGCTCATCCTGCTGGAGAGTGGTGGGGAGCATTGCATCCCCTTAGACCAATCATAACGGGCAGGGTCTGCCTGGAGAAGCAGTGATAATGTGCATATTTATTCAACAAACATCTATTGTGATTGAATTTAGGCTCAGTAAACAGAGAGCTTGGATTTAAACCCTGGCTCTCTCACTTATTAGCTGTGTGACCTCAGGTGAGTTACTTAACCTCTCTGGGCCTTGGCCTTTTTCCATCCCAAAATAGGAATACTAATAATTCCTCATGAGGCAATTATTTGTGGCAAATTACCAGGGTGTTTAATTGTGACAAACAAATGTGTCAAGAGCCTAGGACAGTGCCTGCCATGAAGATGCACCTGATAAATGTTGGCCATTGTTGATTCTTGTATGCCAGGCACTATGCTTGGCCCAGGAGATGCAATGGTGGGCAAAACAGACACGGGTGTCTTCTGGAACTTCCAAGGAGAGAGGTAGGTATCAAGGAATCACACGCACATTGGAGAGGGTCACAGTGTTCTAAGATCATGGATGGGGTCAGGGGTCAGGAAAGACTTTTCCTGACAAGATGGCATGTGAACTGGGTCTGAATTGTGAATAGGAGTTACTCAGGTGATGAGCAGTAAGGAATGCTCCAGGCAGCCGGAGTTGTACGTGCAAAGGTCCTGTGTTAGGAGGAAACATGAGAGGAGCTAAAAGAAGGCACTGGAGCAGAGAACAAGGAGGCCTGGGAGTGAGATGAGGCTGGAGGGGAAGGGAGGTTAAGGCATTGACCACCATGTCAGGGATTTGAGTCTTCTAAAAGCAATGGGGAGCCATTGAATCCTGCATAGGGAGAGTGTTCCTGCACATGGAGCAAGGATCATAAACATGGAGGGCTGGGCCGGAGACCCACAGTGGGTTTTTGCGACTGGGCTCTGCTACATCTGCAGCCCTATCTACTCTTAGACTTTTACTGATTCCTTGCATTGTTTTGCACTAAGCCTTCATGCCTCCATTTTCCAGATGAGACAATCTCAGAGAGGTCAAGTGAATTCCCTAAACACAGCAGGCCTGAGGCAAGGATCCAATTCTCCTCATTCTCAGACCTGTATTTTTCTACCTGGCTACGTTCAGTGGCCTTGGATGGTGGCATTTGCCCTGGCCACTAATCTATAGGCGCCCAGACGCAAGGACAGAGTGTGTCTTGTGTGCGGCTCATCCCAGTGCCTGGCGCTCAGGGCTCAGTACACGTGTCATTCCCTGAGAAAGCCAGTGGCATAGTCTTAAGGGGACCCATGTTTCATTCTGCCCATTCGTGGGGACCTGGTGGGTCGCTTCTTATTGCAATTTGGTTCTCCCTACTGCCAGTGTCTCGTTTTTCTAGGTCAGGGGCCAGTAAACTTTAGCCGGTAAGTCAAATCTGACCCACTGCCTATTTTTTGCAATGAAAATGTTATCGGCTCACAGCCACACCCATTTATTGCATATAGACTATGGCTGTTCCCATGTTATCACCGCGCAGTTGGGTATTTGGGACAGATCCACAAAGCTGAAAGGATTCAATCTCTGGCCCTTTACAGAAAAAGCTCCTTGGTCCTATTCTAGGGAAGGAGTGTGCCCTCAGGCCGTTAGTCTATGATGCCTGAGTAGGTTCCTAAACGCCTCCAGAGAATCCTCCAGAACCAGGCTGAGGAGCACTTGAGGAAGTGATGTGACTGGCCCCACCACTGTGGCCATTGGGCCTTGGGAAACCGTACTTAGAAGCACTGAGAAACACAGGGTTGGGGCTTGGGAGGGGCAGTCCCCCAAACACCCCAGAAGGGTGGAGACCGACAGAGGAGGTAAGTCTAGTCATCCTGAAATCTAGGGTATCTACAAAGTCCTTGCGCTGCTTAAAATATCTATTTCCTGATAATAAAGCTGACATATCACACGCATTTTTCTATTTAAAGATACCGAGGAGGATGCATGAGAAAGGGAAGGGCCGCCCATAACTGGGCCGCGCAGAGACAAGCCCTGTGAGCATTTCTGTCCGTGCGTCCTCCGGGAACCCACACACAGCTGGAAGTACCTGTTTATACATCTTTACACCTGCTTTTCCGCTAACGAGGCATGAGTGCTGTGTGGGCATTCAACATACGTGCGGCTTTCACGTCTGTATCACACTCCGAGCAGCAGGTTTCCATTAGGATGGCCCTTGGATGTTTTTTCCAGTGTTTCCCTCACATTGAGTATCATCGCTTTGATCTCTGAAGGCATCTTTGGAGCATTGGGGGGGGGGCGGGGGGGGCGGTTCCCGCCTGTAGAAGTAGAAACCCCTCGCTTTGAACGCTTGAGTCTCACAGGTGTTAGGTGTCACGAGATGTGGTTTTACGGTCTTCTCGTGGACGACACGAGTCCGGATCCTCTTAGCGATATTTGCTCTTCTGCGAGGCACATCCAACCGCGCAAGCCTTACCTTGAAGCTGCTTCCCCGCCACGGAGTCACCCCTTCCCCTTACACAGAGCACTTGCTAGAATGCAGGGAAGACTCCCTGCATGCGGGCGCTCAGCCGGCACCAACACAGGCCAGGCCTTGAGATAGGGGGCTTATCTTCCGGCCACCTGGACCTGCCTCTGCCACCTACCCCGTGTGACCTTGAGCAAGGCACAGCCTCGCCTTGGGTCTCAGCTTCCCCCAAAGACCGCTCTGAGCGGTACATGAGCTGATCTGATGCACAGCACCTGGCGTGTGCGGGAGCCAAGGCAATGCTACGCGTCTGTATTATGAAGCTTTGCAGGCGAGGAAGCCGAGGCTCCAGAGAAGCGACCTGCCCACAGTCTCACAGCTGGTGGGAGGTCAGTTATCAGGCCTCTGGCCTTGCAGGTTGTCTCCCGTAGGGCCCTGCTCCTGGATGGTTTTCAGAGCTCACAGATGGCGTACAGGACCAGGGGTGGGTCTGTGGTAGTTTCCTTTTCCGCAGGCTGTGCCCGGCCCTCCTGAGACGCAGCTTGTGGCTGCATCTGACGCAGGGAGAAAGGGATGCATCTGGAGGATGTGGGGCTCTGCATCTGCTCGCTCTGGAACCCACCACCCCCGCATGGCCAACCCGCCCACCCCAGGCACCCCTGGAACAGAAGTTCTGTCATGGTGTACACCCACACGGTCTCCCCATTATCACTTTATTTTTTTCTTAAAGTTTGTATTTATTTATTTGACAGAGAGAGAGAGAGAGAGAGAACACAAGCAGGCAGAGTGGCAGGCAGAGGCAGAGGGAGAAGCAGGCTCCATGCAGGGAGCCCCATGTGGGACTCGATCTCAGGACCCCAGGATCACACCCTGAGCTGAAGGCAGACGCCCAACTGACTGAGCCACCCAGGCGCCCCATCCCCATTATCATTTTACTTATATATTTTTAAAAGATTTTATTTTTTTATTCATGAGAGACACAGAGAATGAGACAGAGGGAGAAGCAGGCTCCCTGCGGGGAGCCTGATGCGGAACTTGATCCTGGGACTCCGGGATCACTCCCTGGGCCAGAGGCAGACAGACGCTCAACCACTGAGCCACTCAGGTGTCCCCCCATTATCATTTTAGAACAACCTGTGTGTAAGGCAGGGCGTGAACCCCTTTCTGCATATGTCCTGCATCCCACCTTGTATGAAGCCACAGGCCAGACCCTGGGAGATGACGCCTTCCTTCACTCCCCTGAGAGCCCTGTGCTTTCTCACATCTCTTGGCCTTTGGTCTGTGCTATCTGCCTGGGATGGCTTTAGCTTCCTCCTGGACTGCCCACCCTCCTGGGTAGCGCACCCCTACTTGTCATCTCATGTACCCACTTCTTGGAAGGTTCTCTTGCCGACCCCCTCCCCTACCAGGGTGGGTCAGGGGCCCCTCCTTGGCTCACCGCAGGGTGACATTACGATGCATCATGATCTGTTTACTTGTTCACCTGCTGGCTTCCCCGCCAGAGGAAGGGAGGGCCAGAGCCTGGAACTGCTTGCCTTTTGGACCTCAGAGCATCCAGCCTGGGATACCAGAGTTGGCACAACCAGAGAGTCAGGATAGAGAAATAAAATAAGCAGGTCTTGGGGCACCTGGGTGGCTCAGTGGTTGAGCATCTGCCTGTGGCTCAGGTCGTGATCCCGGGGTCTTGGGATTGAGTTCTGCATCGGGCTCCCTACAGACAGCCTTCTTCTTCCTCTATGTCTCTGCCTTTCTCTGTGTCTCTCATGAATAAATAAATAATCTATCTATCTATATATATATATATATAAAAAAAAGCAGGTCTTGCCCCAGTGGAATTTGCAATGTAGCTCCAGTCATTGATTGTGGTGAAAAGGACCACCTGTGCACCTAGAGATGGATCTTGAAGGAATGGCCACGTCATATTTGCAGACCTCAGGAATATCTGTGTTCTGTGGCTTCTCCCCCCACCCACCCCCTGATTCCCTTCTTGGACAAGAACCTAGAACCATCCTTATCTGCATGCAGTCACTCCCTTCCTTCCAGGGTGGGGTCCCCTCACCTCAACTCTATGGCTGTGGTGTCATGCCTCTTCACCCAGCCCCCCAACCCCTCTCCCAGCAGAAAGCTGCCGTGTGGTTTTCAGCGTGCACCTGATTACCGAAACCCAAGAGTGATGTTGGGCCCAGCAGGTCCCTGTCTCCCACTACCCGCTCCATTTCAATCCACACTGTCACTGAGTTGTCACAAACAAGGGGGTGTGGGCCGTCACGTGGTCGTGTCTGAGTAACCACATTCTCGCTTCCTCCTTTGGTGCAGGCCGTTGAGGGTTGGCGGGGACTACGGCCGGGGTGCCACAGCAGTGCTCGGACAATCTGGGCTTGGTCCCTGTCGCCAAGGCAGAGAAGCTGCTTTTCCGGGGCCCAGAGGCAGCTGTCCCATGCTCTGCGGAGCATGGAGCACGGTAAGTACCGGCTTGCAAAACCACACTGAGGGGCTGGGTGGTGGTCCTGGGACCAGCAGGCCTGCGTGACAGCATGGGGCAGGCCGGGGCAGGACCCGAACTCTGAACTAGGGCCCCAGGGCTCCAGATCAACATGGTGGTCTTATTCTGCTGCCATCTCTTCTGGATTCTGCTACCTCGACTTCCAGCCTCCCCACCATCCCCATCAGGTTTGCCTGCAGCCCCTGCCTGAGGAGGGGGGAGTTCTCAATTTGAAAAATCAGAGAAATCAGGAACATTTCTCTAGAAATCATGCTACCCCCTCCTCTCATGTGGGGCACAGGGAGGTGAAGAGATTTGCTCAGAGCGGTGCTGGGGTTGGGTCCAGGCGATTCTGGAAAGGGTGAGCAGGTGCAGGATGTGTCGAAGCCTCGTAGCTACAGATCCACAACAATATTGTCTCCAAAGTTACGTTCTTCACACTTTTTAAAAAGTTGAGGGGTGCCTGGGTGGCTCAGTCGGTTAAGCGGCTGCCTTTGGCTGGGGTCATGATCCTGGGGTCCTGGGATTGAGCCTCAAGTCAGAGTCCCTGCTCAGTGGAGAGCCTGCTTCTCCATCTCCCCGTGCCGCTCCCCCTGCTTGTGCTACACCCATCAACACCCATAGACAATGATCAGGGCTCCAGTTCCCTCGAATTCTCTTCCTCCTTCCTGGACTCTCTTCCTTTCCCATCTCTGACTTCCAGTCCCAGCCCCAAGACTGGGTCTCTCGGCGGGCAGGGAACTCAGGAGGTGATTCTCCTGGCCCCAGACCCCTCCATGGCTTCGTCCGGGGCTTGCCTGGCCACACCCGAGATGGTAGATGCCTCCCTCATCAGACTTGGCCAGCAGCCAGGGCAGACTGAAACCCAGAGGGCAGAAGGGGCCGGGCTGCCAGGCTGAGCACCCCCTGGGAAGCCTGGCCAGGCAGGAGCAGGGCCTTCAGAGGGGCTGGGGAATCTTCCAAGAATGCTGTGCCCCCTTTTCGCAGATGAGAAAATCGAGGCTCAGAGGGGAGAAGCAGCTGCCCATCGTGGCCTGGCTGGGAGGTGGCTGAGCTTGGACTTACGGCGGCCCCATCTGGCTGCAGGACCCTCGTGGGGCCCAGCGTGACCCCGGCCTGACCCCGGCCCAGGTCCCTTGGTCCCCTTTGCTGAACCTGAGCAAGAAGTTGGTGGTGGGGCATGGGGCTCAGGCTGGAAGGACATAGGATGGCTGCAGTGCGTCTGTGTGTCTGTGTGCTTGTCCGTCTGCCTGTCTACACAGACAATTCTTCAGACAAGCATCAGGTGTTAAACTAAAACCAGGTGTAGTTCTCTTTAAATTCATTTGTGTAAATTATCTTGCCTCCTCTGTACCAGGCTGGGAAATTTGGGGTTGAGAAGGTGAAAGTTGGTAGGGGTTATTTTGGTGAGGAAGGAGCAGAAAAAAATCTTAGCCATCACTGTGGCTTGTGCTCCTGCAAAGAGCTATGGAACAGTAAACAGGTGTATCTGCGGTATTAAAATGTGTGGGGACGGGTGGTCACTAGGTAAAGAACAAAAACAAAAACAAAAAACAATCTGAAAGGGCTCCTTGATGGGGGTCAGGGAAATGATGAGAAAAGCTCGGGATGTGCAGGATGGCAGGCCCAGTGCAAGAAGCTCTAAGGCGCATGTCCTGTGCACTTGCGGGCTGGTTGCTTGTCTCCCATTCACAGGTCCCCTCCTGCAACGGGCCTTTCATGAGCCCCCAAGGGTGCTGGGGACCCAGTTGAGACTGTGCCCTGCAAAAGCTTGCAGTGGGCAGCCACAGAGCCTGCGCTCCACTGGGCAAATGTCACAATGCCTGCTAAGTGCCTGTCTGCTAAGCCCTGGACATGGGGTGTGAGCAGCAAGACATCTGTGGTTCCCGTCCTTTTGAAGCTGAGGGTCCAATGGGAATGAAGTTTTAGACAGTAAACAATACTTTAAGCGGTTTAAACAATGGGAATGACTCGTAGTGCCTGAGCAACCCAGGACGGCTTCTTGGAGAAGGTGCCTATTTTCTCAGCTCTGGAGAATGGATGAAATAGAAGGCTGTGACTGTGAGGTGCATCTGGAGCAAGAGCACCCAGATTCAAGTTCCTGAGCCCTCGCTTACTGGGTATGTGACTCTAGATGCCAAGAGGGTCTCGGTTTCCCCATCTTTCACATGCGGGTCACAGAGGAGGTGGTAGGGCCTGACTGAACTAATGATTCATGCATAGCTCTTACATCAGTCTCTGGAACATGGTCTACACTTGATACCTGTGGTTTGCAAACCAGGGATGGCCCGGGGCTTGCTGTGGAGATGGTTTTTTAGGACTCTCCATCCCGGCCTTCTCTGTCAAGATTAGAGGTGTGTCAAAGCTATTCCCGGGTGGGGGATTTTTCAGGGATATGGCCCTGAATGCAGAATGACAAAGATAACACTTGGCCATTATTGAGCACTTACCGTGCTAAACACTCAACCTGAACCAGCTCACTTCAACCCACAGCCACCCCACGAAGTGTATGGGCTATGACTGTCCTTTGATCCCAGATGAGGAATCTGTGGCCCAGAGAGGGGAGTTCAGCTGCCCCAGGTCACACAGCTTGTGCGTGCCAGACCTGGGCCTGGATCTGGTTTGATACTGGATCAGTCGGGCCGAGAACTGCCCTGGGGCCCTGGGGTACACCTGGGCCTCGGTTTGACCTACTTATTGATTTGGAGCTTCCTCTTCTCTTGGCTGACAGCTCAACCCCATGCCCTGAGATGCTCAGTCTTTCTTTCTTTCTTTCTTTCTTTCTTTCTTTCTTTCTTTCTTTCTTTCTTTCTTTCTTTCTTCTTTCTTTCTTCTTTCTTTTTTTTTTTTTTTTAAGATTTTATTCATTTATGTGAGAGGGAGAGAGAGTGCCAAGCAGAGGGGAGGGGAGGGGCAGAGGCAGAGGGAGGAGCAGACTCCCCGCTGAGCAGAAAGCCCACCATGGACTGGATCCCAGGACTCCGGATCCGATCACCATCACGACGTGAGCTGAAGGCAGATGCTTAGCTGACCGAGCCACCCAGGTGCCCTGATGCTCAGTCCTTCTGATCCTCTGCTTCCAAACCCTTGAGCGCCGGGATTCCCGGGTCCAAGATTCTGAATGGGAAGTCCCAAGCTTCTTGGAGCGCCCTGGTGTCTTTCCTGGGCGGTCCGGGGCGGCCGCGGGCTCCCTGTCTGGAGCAGGGTACAGCAGCCTGGGTGGCGCAAGGGCAGAGCAACCTGGTTTTAGGCTAAGGGACAGGAAATGGGCCGCATCCGACCTACCGTGTTAGGCAAGCAGGAAGACAGATGGGATGTAGCAGCTCTCTGCCCCTCTCCCAGCGCCCCTCTCCTGTGGGGAGTGACTGTTCCTGCTCTGGGCGCAGAAAGGCATAAGAGGAGGCGGCTTCACCTTTCTGGGCCTCGCTGTCCTGCCCCGCACGGTGCCCATGGCGACGGGGAAGGGTCCGCCTCGCCGCCCTCACTGGGTCACACACTTGTCTCAGCAGATACTGAGGCTCCCGGCCACCTGCGGGACACAGCGCTCGCCCTCCGCCCCTCTCCCTGCCACCTGCGCAGCCTGGCTCGTGGCCGTGGGGTCTGTGGTCCTTCTCCCCTGAAGCCCATGAGATGACAGCCACCAGGCTGGGGTGACCGGCCGGCCTGGCTTGCCTGGCGCCCATGTATGGGACCGAGAGGTTTTCAGCACTTAACAACAGGAACATCCTGGGCGAGGCGGTCGCCCTAAATAGACCTGGACTGGGACACGGGGCTTTCCTGGGGTGCCCTGTCTTATCTCCACACACAGTGTGTGGGGGGGTGTCTCTGCTCTCACTCAGGACCTGCAGCATCCTCACTGCTCCTGGCAGGAGGGGGAGGTAGGGAGGCCGCCGCATCCACCTCCCTGACTCTGAGCTCATTCCTCTGCATCTCTGTCCACAGCCCCGAAAAGACTCCCCCAGTAAAACACCCCCTGCTGGGTGCCAGCTATGGGGGACTTTCCCTGCAGCATGTAATTTGATTCTCAGGGCCAGTCTTTGAAGCAAGGCCGTCCATTTTACAGATAGGGAAACTGAGGCAACCTGCTCAGGTTACAAACACAGCTGCTGAGTGGTCTCTCCTCCAAGCTGCCTCTGCATGCAGGGGATGGTGGGGATGCGCACAGGGAGAGGGCAGTCACTGGGGAGAGCCCCTTCCATGCCTTCCTTCCCGGCCTCTGGGCTGCAGAAAGTCAGGTCCTGGGTGCCTGGGTGGCTGGGGGGCGTAAGCCTCTGCCTTCAGCTCAGGTCGTGGTCCCAGGGTCCCAGAATCAAGCCCCACGTCATGCTCCCTGCTCTGCGGGGAGCCTGCCTCTTCTTCTGCCTGTGTCTCTGCCTCTTCCTCTCTCTCTCTGTCTCTCATGAATAAATAAATAAAAATCTTTAAAAAATAAAAAGGTCCTGAATCATCAAGGTGCCTCCTTCAGCCAGGAACCAGTGGGTGGGGCCTTTGTTCTTGTCCCCACCCTCCCTGTTTCCAGGAAGTGCTGAGGGCTCTGCCTTCCAGGAACCGAGAACTGCCTCAGGGGGGGTGGTGGGTATAAGTCTTCATGATTTTGAAATATGGACCCAACCTGGTGGCTTCTTAAAATCCACCCCGCTCCTCCCCCAGGAAAGCAGGGCCAAGGTTACCCCCAAGCAGGAACTCCACCCGTGTGCAAAGACACTCTGCCTCCTAAATGCAGGTTGGGAGGCAAAGAATGTGTGTGTGTGTGTGTGTGTGTGTCTGTGATGCTTTTATTAAGCACCTACTGCAAGCCTGGACATTCAAGTCCATCATCTTGTTGCATTTCCTTAACAGCTGGATGAGATAGAGGCAGATAGTTATCCCCACTTTACAGATGAGAAAATTGAGGCTGAGAAATTCAAGGTCCTACAGCTTACAAGGAACAGAGCTAGGACCTGAACACCTTTGTATCTCACCCCAAGGACTGTGTTCTCAATCCCATGCCCTGAATAGCACCTGGTACAAATGGGACTGACCTTTCTGGATGAGATAGCTTTCAAGGTACTTTTTTTTTTTTTTTTTTAGATTTACTTGTTTATTTGAGGGGGGAGGGGCAAGGAGAGGAGGAGAGAGAATCTCAAGCAGACTCCCCCCTGAACTCGGAGCTGACACAGGGCTCCATCCCAGGACCCTGAGGTCATGACATGACCCAAAACCAAGAGTCAGATGCTTAACCGACCAAGCGACCCAGGTGCCTTAAGGTCCTTTTTGTTCTTACTCTGCCTTCCTTCTCTCATCTGGGTCCCCAGCCACAGACACAATAAGCGAAGATCTCTTCCAAGGCTTTGCTCCTTCTGCCCCCTCAGCCAGGTCAGGTTTCTCCACGAAGTCTTCCTGAATTGTCATTGGGTTCCAGTCTGATCTCTGCCACTTGCCAGCTGTGTGCCTTCGGGCAAGTTGCTTTACCTCTCTGAGCCTTATCCCTCCATAGTAAAATGAAGATAATCGTAAGGGCCTGATGTGTCTGGTGCAAATATCATAAAGTTCGGCTTAAGAAATTATTTTAAGGGATGCCCGGTGGCTCAATCAGTTGAGCATCTGCTTTTGGCTCAGGTCATTATCCTCAGGTCCTGGTATCAAGACCCACATCAGGCTCCCTGCTCGGTGGGGAGTCTGTTTCTCCCTCTCCCTCTGCCACTACAACCTCTTGTGCTTTCTCTCTCTCTCAATTAAATAAATAAAATCTTAAAAATTATTTTAGGACATGATCAGACTGGGGATTGAGTTGAGCCTAGAAATTCAGGGGCCTACGAGTAAGTTATAGTCGCTCAAGCAATCATGAGCAACTGGTCTCTGCTCTGAATTATGTGAAGTACAAGGAAAAGTATGGGAAATGATCTGGGCTCTGCCCCCGACAGAGTGGGATTGCATGCTGCTGGGGCTGTTATGTCCGAGGAAACCAGGAATACCCGAATCCTGGCCCGGAACACAGCTGTCACTCACCACAGGATCCTTAAGTGCATGATTCTGAATCCCATGAACAACCAGCCAGGGCCAGGGGGAGCGTAAGGAGAGGGAGAGCCATCGAAAAAGCAGGGGCGCTCGCAATGCCAGGAAGAAGGACCAAGGAGATGGTTGCAGGGAGTGGCTCTGCCCTCTCTGGCTGCTGGCCAAGGGGCTGAAGGTTCACAGTAGAATGGCCCTCAGGCGGGTGAGATGACTGCCAGCTCCCTGAGGGTAGGACTGGTCTGAAGAGGTGGGAGGTTTCTCCTGGCTGCGGATGGTATAGCTGATGGCTCTGGGCCCTGGAGGACTTACAGGAGAGGCTTACTGGTGGAGCCAAAGTAGCTGCCCTTTGCTGGGGCTTGCAGTGGGAACAAAGTTTGAAGGGCTCCGTAGGTAGGCATTACCTGTTTCAACCTCACAATAACCTATGAGGTAGGTACTGTCATCCGAGTTGTGTAAGGGAGGACAGAAGGGAACAGACCAAGCAGAGACACCGAGAGAGGATGGGAAAAACTGAGAATCTGAGGAACAGGCCAGTGCCACGTAGGGTGGGAGCCAAGACGAAGGAAAGCAGAGCAGAGGGACACGGAGAGACGGGTCAGGAACGGACTCCAAAGGCCTCAAGTGTCCAAACAAGCAGCTTTATCCTGTAGACCTGTGGTCTCCAAACTCCTTGGCTCATGGACCCCATCGGTGGACAACGCATGTACATTGATCTATGAATTGTAAGCAGGTACCGCTGGGCTCATGATAGATTAGAAATGTGTGCAAAAATTGAAATCGCAAAGGGGTGACATAACAATATAACTCGAAGCTCTAAGAGTTTCTTTCTATACCCCAGTGGCCTGCCTTGCCCACAATTTTAAAATTTTAATCAAAAAGGAGAGGAAGGCAAAAACTATGTCTATGCACCGTATAAGGAGAGTTGCAGAGCCCTCTGGATGGATCTATTCATGTGGAGAAACAATAACAGCTGCTGTTTGCTGGGGAGCTACTGTGCGCTGGGTCAGGAGGGTGCTGAACGCTAAGTGCCTGCCCCAGATCAGACATAGTCCAGGGTTGCAGTAGAGGGTGCTTGGCAGGCCCAGGGGGGAAGCTGTCCTGATGTCCTTCTGTCCGTGTCTCCCTCCAGGTGCCATGCCTCTGCAAGTCCTCCTGCTTCTGGTTTTGCTGGGCTCTGGCGACAGCCTCCAGCCATGGGAGATACAGTGGAGTGGGATGGAGGAGGCCCCAGAGCTCCTGCTTGCCCGGGGAAGGAGGCAAGTGGATGAGGAGCTAGAACTGGACGTATATGACTACGCCATAGTAGGCACAGACCCCCCAGAGGTTTTCACCCCTGAGTCTATGCCCCTGACCCCTAAACTTCTGGCTGAGATGGCAATGTTGGGGCAGAGGAATTCTACAGGGCGTGGAACTCCAGAGCCAGCCACTCTGGAGGCGGCCACAGGGGACTCTGCTGGCCTGGACGCAGGAGGGGTGACCATGGGGAACCTGAGCATGGAAGTGGCCACACAGGGGATTCCTGTCACACTGAACTTTCTGACCGAAGAACCGACCACTACACTGCTTCCCAACACGGAGGCTCCACTCACAGAAGGGGCTCCAACCACAGAGCTGGCCACCACTGAGGTCCTGTCCACAGAGCCAGCAGCCACAGAGGCACTGACCACGCAACCGGCGGCCACGGAGGCCCAGTCCTTGGAGCCTATTGTCATGGGGACCCTGTCCACAGGGCCAGAAGTCACGGAGGCCCTGACCACGCAACCCGTGGCCACGGAGGCCCAGTCCATGGAGCCTATTGTCATGGGGACCCTGTCCACGGGGCCAGAAGTCACGGAGGCCCTGACCACGCAACCCGTGGCCACGGAGGCCCAGTCCATGGAGCCTATTGTCATGGGGACCCTGTCCACGGGGCCAGAAGTCACGGAGGCCCTGACCACGCAACCCGTGGCCACGGAGGCCCAGTCCATGGAGCCTATTGTCATGGGGACCCTGTCCACGGGGCCAGAAGTCACGGAGGCCCTGACCACGCAACCCGTGGCCACGGAGGCCCAGTCCATGGAGCCTATTGTCATGGGGACCCTGTCCACAGGGCCAGAAGCCACAGACGCCCTGTCCACAGAGCCCGCTGCCACAAAGGCCCCGTCCACAGATCCAGCCACCATGAAGGGCCCGTCCACGGCACCTGCCTCCACAGGGCACCTAACCACAGTCCTTGTGCCCTCTGATCCTCAAAACAGCACTAATGTGACAGGAGGCGATTTGTCTGATGCCTTCATCAAACGATGGAAAAATAGTCAGGGCCTGCCCCCCCAGAGCTCCGCGGTGCCCCCCGCCGCGGAGGGCCCGGACCGCATCCCCGTGAAGCAGTGCCTGCTGGCCATCCTCGTCCTGGCCCTGGTCGCCACTACCTTCCTCGTGTGCACCGTAGTGCTGGCCGTCCGCCTCTCCCGCAAGACTCACATGTACCCCGTGCGCAGTTACTCCCCCACCGAGATGGTCTGCATCTCATCCCTGCTGCCCGAGGGGGGCGAAGCGCCCACTGCGGCGGCCAACGGGGGCCTGCCCAACGCCAAGAGCCAGGGCCTGAGCGCGGAGCCCAGGGAGGGCCGGGATGGGGACGACCTCACCTTGCAGAGCTTCCTCCCTTAACGCCTCGGCCTCCGGCTCCACCACCCGAGCGCCCCCTGGCCTCCGCAGCCTTCCCAGGCCCCTCCGGGCCACGCCACGGCTGAGGGGAGCAGAGCCTGGGGAGCTTTAGGACAGGGCGGTTGCCCCCCAGGACGTGAAGCAGCTGAACTCCCACAGCCGACGCAGGACCAGTGAGCGAGCCACCTTGCTCTCCCTCCTGCCTCCCTGGCTCACGCCTGGCCGGGCTCCCTCTCGGGCCTCCGCCACTGAGGTCTCGTCCCCGTGCACCAAGGAAGACCCAAAGTCTTCTGGTGGCTGCGGTCACCATACAGGAAGGAGGCTTTGGGGGGAGAAGTGCCAGGTTCCTGAGGCCACTCCTGGTCCCCCTTGCCCCCCACTGGGAGGCAGTTTGGGTTTTCTTGGGTATCTCTCAAGGGAACCCAGGGTGAGATCCTAGCCCATGGGGTCTGGGGTGGGCTTGGAGAGCCCAGGGCTATATCCTTCTTTGGGACCATGTGTACCAATGGGCTTCCTTCCGGGAGTAACCCCCACCCTGCCCTCTCTCAACTGCCCCCGTGTCCACATTTTAAGGTGGACTCTGACTTGCTCACTCCCCAGCCCAGGGCCTGGCACAGGCCCTCAATAAATCTTTGATGAACAAATGATGGCAGAATGTTTCAGGGTATTGGGGTGACTCCTCCTGGTGGGGAGCTGGTCCTTTGGGGCCCACAGACTTTTCCTTAAATGGCCGAACATATTGTACGCTTTGCAGACCACATGGTCTCAGCTGCAACTTCTCAGCCCCACGGGTCCTCGTAGGTGGAATGTGGTGATGGGACAACGTGTCACAAACGAAGAAGGGGTTGGCTGGGTTCTAATAAAACTTGATTTCCAAACAGGCAGCCGGCTGGATTAGGCTCTGTGTTTGCTGACCCCGGATTTAAGCACTGGGGGACCAGATGGTCCAGTTTGTGTGGGACTTTGTGTGATTTTAGTGCTGGGAGCCCCGGGTTGGGGGAAACTCTTCAGCCCCAGCAAATCGGGACAGTCGGCCGCCCTATTCAAGCAACACTCACCGCGTGCCCACCTTACGCAGTTGGACCCACACTGATCCCAAGGGGCAGATCCGAAAGTCAAGGCTTCCCCAGTGGCTTCCCCAGTGGCCAAGCCGGGATTCAGACCCGGGATCTTCCACCTTCCGATGCTTTTCTGTCACTTTGGTATCAGGAGAAGGACGGGAGGCTTCAGGCACATGGTTCCACCTTCTGGGAGAGGAATGCAGCTCACCTTGGAGGACTTTCCTTCTTCTAGAAAAATACCTCTTGCGGCCTGTTGGGGAGCCAAGGGACCCCTTCACTTTGGGTTGTGGCCTGCGGAGAGTTCAAAGACAGGGCTGAGTCCTGGTAGGTGTGGGCTGCAGCTGGAGAGGGGACACCCGGGGACAGGCAGGAGGGAAGGTGGCAGGCGTTGGGCCAACAGGGCAGAGTCAGAGAGGTGCAGGGATGTCGGCCCCGCCCCCTGACGCTCTAGAACAAGTGTGACCCACGAGCGAGGTGATAAAGGTGATTTGGTGGGAGACGGGTGCCCACCCTGGGCCGGGACAGCTGACCCTGCAAAAGGCGGGATTGCACATTATGAGAAACATGGGTTTGCTTGCTCTTTGCAAGTGATGAGAAAAATCATGCGGGGGGCGGGGGGACGACGTGGGGGGAGGGGAGGGACTCGATATTACGAAGCCGGGGCCCCAGAGGCTGAAGGACTTGGGGGACATCTGAGCAGCCTCCGTGGGGTCTTGTCATCCCATCCTCTGGGCAGGGAGCACGTCCCCAGGCCCCCCCCGCCCCGCCGCTGGAGGACACTGAGACCCCCCCAGGGGCCTGCCCTCCCCGGCTCGCGCTCCAAGGCTCGGGAAGGAAGACGGGTGCTCGAAGCAGCCACCAGGGGGCGCCCGCCACCAGCTCTTGGGGCCGCGAGAGGTCCTCACCCGCAGGACATTTCCCGGCGTGGGGGGGGTGGAGGAGCCGGGATTGGCGCCGCGGAGCTGCAGGCCCAGGAGGGGGCTGGCGAGGGCGGAACAGCGGGCTCCCTGGTGGCCTGGTACCCCAGCCGCCGGTGCTTGCCAATGTCGCTGGTGTAAATACTCCCAGGGCTGATTTTTGAGCAGCCAGCTATGTATACAGTAAACGCGACAACAGACGTAAATAATCTCAAGAACATAGGAGCAGAATGTAGTAAAATAATTAGGAAGTGATGAGTTTTGAGTATTAGAGGTGTATATATATATATATATATATATATAATTTAACTTATTGCACAACTGGCTTACAAAATTCTGAAAATCTAACAGTTGGCCCTGGGAGATGGCTATAGGCTGGCTCCTGTGCACCACTGGGCCCTCCTCCTGCCCCGACCTCCTCTCAACCTTGAACCCCTGCCTGAATCGCTCATTCATCCATTCAGCACATCTATTCCAAGCGCAAGCATCTGCAACATCTCCCTCCCTGCCCCTCCAACAGCCTGGGAAGGAGGACTCAGATTCTCCTCGTTTTGCGGAAGAAGAAACAGGCACAGAGAGGCGAAGTCACCTGTCTCAGGAGACACACAGGATCTGGGACTGGAATCCAGCCTGGAGCAGAAAACCACGTTCCTACCACAATGTCATGCTGCCCTTGAGGCCCCTGTGGGGGTTCTGGGGGAATGCCATGCCCCAAACTCTCCCTGCTGCTGACCTGTCCTGGTGCCTGGAAGTCCCCATCAGTCACACTGTGGCTCCAGTGGCGGAGGGAAGGCACTGGTACTTGGGAAGGTGACAGGGTCGAAGCCAGCTCCCCTCCTTGCAGAAAGCAGGACATGGTAATGCTGGGGTCCAACAAAGAGAAATGGTGAGGGGGGGGAGGGCACAGAGCCGGCATGTACTGGGCAGTGAGTGCACATCCAGTGCACACCCAGCACTTCATCTGCAATATCTATCACGCCTCACAGCCACCCTGGGACGTGGGTATACTTATTATCCCATTTTACTGTTGGGGAAACTGAGGTTCAGGAGGCTGGGTCACTTGCTCTAGCACATTGCTCTGCTGAGAAAGCAGACTCTGCTGACTTCAGCTCTGTTGGTGGAGAAGGAAGGAGGGTAGACAGGACATCAGGAAATGGAGGTGGGGGTAGCAGTGGGAGGGGATGCATACTATGTTTACAACTCTTGTGTCTTCCGGGCTGGGTTGCCAGCCCTGTGGGGGTTCACCTGGAAGCTGATCTGGGCAGAGGCTCCTCAGGCTTGCCCTCTATATCCCACCCCACCTCCGCTCAGCCAGGCCACAAAACTTAGTGTCACAGTGTGTCCATCCTGTGCCAGGCCCACCGTGCTAGGTCCCAAGATGCCATGTGGGCAAGAGGGGCCCGGGGATGCCTGTTGAGGCTCAGGGCCTGGAGGGACAGCAAGAGATTCACCAAACGATCACCCGGAAAAATAGGAGATCCTGGCTGGGCCTGGAGCCCAAAAGGAGGGGTGGGGGACTGGGGGACTCTGAGTCTGTGCAATGTGGCCAGACCTTGGGGCCCCGGGAGGAATCAGGAAAATGTTGGAGGCTGGAAAAGGTGCAGAGTTGTTGAGGGTGGGTGTGGAGAAAAGAATGTTCCAGGCATGGAGAACAGTGTAGAGAACAGGGTGGGGGCATTGGGAGGAAGGACAAGGCTGGGGCGGCGGGAGGGAGCCAGCGTGGCTTCAGGGAGGTGGCCTGTGTGAGGATAAGAGAGCCTGGGCCAGAGTGGAGGGTGCAAGAGGTGAGGAATGGAAAGAGAACTGGGAAGGAGGAAGCGTTGGAGTTGGTGATGCCTTGGCAGGGTGATGACGAGATGGAAAAAACCTGAAATCCCGTTTCCTACGTGGGTGTCGTCAGTGGAGGAAGCAGGCCGGGTGGTGGGATGGGCTTCGGCCGTGAAGAGTCTCCAGGGCCTGTTCAGTCTCCCGGCGGAAGCGTCAAGGAGGCTGCTGGCAAAGATGCTCCCCAACATTAGCCATGGGGAGATGCAAATGTTGGCCACCCTGAGATGTCACCCTGCGCCGCCAGAAGGACTACAGTTCAAGGCCCAGCATACCGCGTGCTGAGGAGGATGCGGAGAAGCCGGCACACGCACACCTGCTGGTGGGGGTGCAACAGGGCACAGCCACCTTGGAAGCCAGCGTGGCGGTTTCTTATCAAGTTAGCCGCGTATCCACCGTATTGCACGATCGCACCACGTTGCACACGCAGGCAACTCCGAATTCCCTTCCCTAGGTATTTCCGCAAGAGAATGAAGACGTGCGTCCATACAAAGACCCGAACGCGATGCTCGCGGCCGCTCTTTTCATGATGGCCAAAAAGCAGGAAACGATCCAAAGATCCATCCTCTGGCGAATGGGTCAGTGAACAATGGGACACTCCTCGGAATAAAAAGGCGTGGATAGGTGATACAGGCACCAGCGTGGATGACTCCCAAACGCACGCGGAGTTAGAGGCCAGACCCGAAGGGCTACTCGTCTACTCTGTGGCTTCGATGGTAAAAAGTCCAGAAAGAGGCAAAACCAATCTATAGTGGTGGGGATCAGATCAGTGGTTACCGTCGCTGGGGATGATGGAGGAGGGGGCTGGAAGGAGGCTTCCGGGGTGATGGGAACATGCTTGACCTTGGCGTGGGTGCTGGTCACACGAGCTCGTCGTCCCCCGGAGCTCACTCAACCGTTCTCGTCTGACCGGTGCATTCTACTGTGAGGGAAGGTGCGTCAAGTGCGAGCCGAGGAACAAGCAGCAGGCAGGTGGGCTGCTGAGCCTGGCATGTCTGCGGGTCTGCTCCGGGGAAGGAGCGTGTGTGACGGTGGGGGGCTGGGACATCTGCCCCGGGGCGGCGGGGACAGGCCACGTCTCCTGGGGCCGCATCCCCACCCGGATCCTGCCTCGATGCAGCCCTCCTTTCCTGCAGCGGCTGGCTGCTCCTGTGCTCAGACACCATCAATGACTCCCTGGTGAAAAAAAATATATATATGACTCCCTGGTGCCCAAGGACCAAAGAAGTTTCCAGTCTTGTCATTTGCTGCCTGTTGACCTAAACGTTTCAGGGGCCGGACAGACTGACCTCATCACTCCTCACTCTCACACGCGTTTCCTGCCTGAATCATCGCCCCCTTCTACTCCCTCTCTCTGGGGCACAGCGACCCCAGCCCCGGAGGCCTTGCTGAGCTCCGGGCTGACCCAGCCATCCTCTGGGCTCCCTGTGTGCTGTCCCCTCCTCTTCCTGGTTCTTCGCCCTGAGCCCAGACTGGCTGACCAAAAGATAACTTCTGATTGTTCTCCACTCCCAGCCTCCGTCTCTCCATCTGGAAGCTGGGTGTTTGCGTGTCTGCTCATGCCCGAGCAGCCACTGTTCATGTCCCTGTTCCTCCCGCTCAGGTGGGAGCTGCACGAGGCAGGGTCTGGGGAGGCCTTTCAGGCCCTAGAAGGCTCAGGAAGGAGTCAGAGGTCAGAGGTGCTCGCCCGGTCTTTGCCGCGTGCCTCTCCGAGCCTCCCAGTCCTCATCTGCAGCACAGGCATGGTCGCAGCACCCCAGGGAACTGCGGACAGTAAGGGGCCCGTTAGCCTTCGCGGGGGCAGGGAAGTGGGGGCGCCGCTCACTCCCAGGGGGGCCAACCTTGACTTACTCTGTGCTAGATTTGTTGTCTCTCTTTGCTGGTTTCATCTTCGCCCTGGGACGTAGGGCCTCTCTGTAACCCTGTTTTACAGATGAACAAACTGAGGCTCAGAGAGGTTCGGTGGCTTTGCCTGAGGCCAGGCAGCTTGAAAAACCACAGATCTGGGGTTAGCCCTTAGACTTGCCCGGGGCGCACCGAGAGGCCGGCTCCTCGAGGAACTCCCCCATGATCTCCACTGCT